TGTGGCTTCACTCTTTCCCTAGTCAACCAGTATTCTGTTATTTGGAGGACAAGTTGGATGGCCCTCTCAGGGGACACTGGTTGGGTTGTTGTGGACTCACAGGGATGGTGTTGTACTGGGTGATCTCACAAGAAACTGTGATGGTTTGGCCCATGGCAGCTTGGGGCACTACAGAAGGCATGTGGGGGAGGCCACTTCAACGAAAGTGCCACAGACGGCTTGTGGGTTGCATGCTTTGGCTGGGCAGGATTTCCCTGGTCAGGTAGATAGCTACAGAGGTTGGGCAGAGATTCCCGCAGCACCGTGGAATGTTGGCAAGTGTTGGATGAGTTGCCTTAGGCCATGTGAGGCACTACAGCAGGTGGGAGGAAGTTCCCTCAGTCACGTGGGACAAGAGAGGACAGATAAGAGTTCCCCCCTCACTGCAGGCAAGATTTACCTAGGAAGAAATTGGGCAGAATATCCCTTGGTGGAGGGTGGGCAGGCTTTTTCAGCTTCAGGTTATGCTGCAGAGGTCTGGAGGTCAGAAGTAAGCCTAGCCCTCTTTTAAATCCAGCTTGAATTTCTGTCATCTCCCTGTCCATATAGTACTGCAAACATTGCTAAATAATCTTCAGCTAAACTTTATTTTCCTGCACTATTAGTGATATTGTTCAATAAATTCCACATTCCTTTTGCTGACTTTTCTTTAGAATCATACAAATATCGATCTCTTCGAGTCAGTTGGCTAGATAGTTGACTTCTGGATTTTTTGGCATGGGCAAGTGAGTGCTTCCAGTACTTCATCAAAATGTTGAAACATTTGGTTGGAATTTTGTTAATTCCTGGAGCCTTGTATTTCCCTAATACCCTCAGTGCAACTTGGAATTCTTTCTTCAGCACCATTGGTTCTTTCTCATATGCTACCTCTTGAAATGTTTGAAAGTATATGAATTATTTTTGGTATAGTAACTGTGTACTGTCTATCCATCTTCTTTTGATGCTTCGTACGGTTTTCAATATTGTTCTCATAGAATCTTTCAACATTGCAATTTTAGGCTTAACTTTTTTTCTTTACTTCTTTCAGCCAAAGATATACTAAGCATGTTATCCCTTTTGGATAACTCCAGGTCTTTGCACATTTCATTATAATGCTTTTCTCAGTCTTCTCACGTAGTCTTTTGAAAAGAAAATATCTGTTCAGCTCTTTTGCGTCATCATTACTTCCATTAGCTTAACTGCTCTGTAATTAAGAGCAAGTTTCATAGTCTCTTTTGATATTTACTTTGAGCTTCCCCCCCTCCCCCCGCCCCACCCGTCTTCTTGAAGCCCTTCTGGTTTCTTCAAGTGTGACATTCTTGCTATCATCCCACAGATCATTAGGTTCTCTGCCATTAGTGTTCAATGAGTGAAGTCTGTCCTGAAGATGTTCTCAAAATTTAGGTAGGATATCCTCAAGCTTGTGTTCAAGCTCTTATGGATCTCTTTTAATTTTCTTCAACATGATGGGCAGCCCCTGACATCATTTTGGCTAATAATATTGGTCTTCTCTACTGTCTCTTCTCACAGATATAGTTAATTTTATTCCATCTGGTTAAATGGATATATACAGTCACCGTTTATATTCCTAAAAAAAGGTATTTGCATTGAAGAGGTCATTAGTTATGCAAAATTGTTTTATGCTTTCTCCAGCTTTGTTTTTTATCATCAAGGCAGTATTTTTTTAAGGCTGTATTTTCTAATTACTTTTCCTTCCTATTTATTTTAAACTTTCCCATTCCAATCATCAATAATTATGATTTTGAAGGCATGTTTGATTAACTTAAAGCTACAAAAATTGACAGAATTCTTCAATGTATTCATTACTAGGTTTAGTGGTTGGTGTGTCAATTTTAATAACAGTTGTATTGACCTGATTTACTTGTCTGCTTATAGCTATCATCTTATCCCAGGCAGTATTATACTTCATAGATGTCATCTTAACCCAGGCAGCATTGTACTTCAAACTAGATCGTAAAGTGTTTGGATGATGAATGCAATGCCATTCCTCCTGAATTTGCCATTCCCAGCATAGGAAAGCATATGACTGTCAGATTCAAATTATCCAATATCAGCCCATTTCAGCTCACTAATGCCTAGGCTATCAATCTTTATGCATTCTACTTAATTTTTGATGAATTAAAATTTTCCTAGATTCATACTTCATACATTCCATGTTCTGATTGTTTATAGATGTTTGCAATGGTTTCATCTCATTTTGCGTCATGGCCCATCAACCAATGAATGTGCCAAAGTCTATGCCCCATCCATGTCATTATGGTCCACTCAACTTTGAGAAAGCAGCTCTTCCTCAGGTGTATTTTGAGTGCCTTCTGATCTGTGGTTAGCAACCCAATGTGTAATCACTGCACCAGATCTCGATGTTTCGTGAGCTATAGGAAAACGTAATAGTTGTATTGTGTCATCTCTATCCATCGTGTTCTGACCACTGCGAGGATTTGGAAGAAGATTTCTGGGCCTCCCTTCATTCTCAAAATGGTTTGCATCCAAGGTAACAAGACTGCTAAAGCATAACCACTAGTTAATGGGTAAAATAATCTAGCAGACTACTAAGGGGGCTCGGGTGAGAATAAACAAAAGAACCCACAAAATAAGTGACTTCTAACAAAACATGGATCAGCAGAGACCTCTTAGCTTATTCAGCAAAAAGCTTAAGGACCTTTGGGGAAACAAAGTCTAAATAATCCTGAAATTATCTTATTTCACCAAGCTGTCTAGAATTTCAGTTATTATTTATAGCTAATCTTCAGATTTATATGAGAACAAAAAATAACAAAAATTTCCTGAAATAGATTATCTAAGTCAAAGTTGAATGTTTTAATCAAATGAGCCAGTTAACATAAGTCGTATTGTTTGCAATCTTAATTGCATTTTGGAACAGATAAGGTATAAATAAACAAAAAACTTTATTTAAGTATTGAGTAAGTTGGACTAGGCCTTGAACATGAACTTGAATAATAACCACACACACAGCTGCCCCTCCTCTCAACTCAACCACCCCAGCAAAAACCAAAACCATGAAGGTGTTTGAGTATACTCCTTCTGCCTTATCATGCAGTTATTATAAAAAGTAAAAATTTAATACTAAATTCGATTTTTTCCCATATGTACATATATCTTCTTTAAATCGATCCTGTTTATAATCAGTGAAACATTTTAATCTGAAGTTATGAATCTTCTGCTCGAACTTGCTTCTGTTATTTACTAGTTTTTTCTACCCCCTCTATTATTTCTTCTAGACTTTTTGTGATTTGAATGTAAAGTCTCCTGGATCTGTTCTCAAAATTTATTCTTCCCCATTTTTACTTCATTTGGTTTTAACAGAGATTATTCCCTCCATTAACTCACCTATTAGTTTATTTTCATTTCAAACCATAGCCCTATTTTTATAACGTATAGCAAATAGTTGTTGTTGTTGTTGTTGGTGGTGGTGGTGGTGTGTGTGTGTGTGTGTGTGTGTGTGTATTACTGAAAGGCATTTCAGCCACCAAAAAAAAAAGGAGATATGAAGATTAATGATTTATTTTACCGTAACATTTAATTAATTCAAATTTTACACAAAACATAATTTGGTCAGACAGAAATTTGACTCTTGTTGCAAATAGTAAATTCACAAAAGGAATTAAGCCAGAATGTCTGCATATATATAACATTATTGAGACTATTTTACAAATCAAAACAAAACTACCAAAAAATTGTATTACTGCTTTACTTATAGAAACAGTTCATTCAATTTTCTTATACAGATTTCTTAGCATTGATTGCGATTTCATAGAACTCCGTTTTATAATTTTTGTGATTGTATACCTAGGGTCTACATTAAGAACTAGCATAATACTGGATGTACAATCAACACCATAGTCTCCAGAGACACAAGGCCAATTGTCATGACACAGTCCACAGGTAATATACAACATCCTACTTTAGTGAGTTGCAACTGGGGTCTTAAAACCTTGTGAGCAGCCATGTAAGGTGCAACTAATGATCTATCCCTCTCTGGAACAGAGAAGAACAAAGGAAATCAAAGACAGAGGAAACAATTACTCCAAAGAACTAATAGACCACGTGAGCCCAGTCTTCACAACTCTGAGACTAAAACTAGAGGTACCTGACTACCACTGCAGATCATTTTGAAAGGAATTATAATAGGAAGCCCTATGGAAAAAATGTGGAACAAAACTTTAAAAACTACCAAGCTTACTGGTCGGACAGAGATTGGTGGAATCTCTGAGACAACAGCCATTAGACACCCTTCAGGTCTGGAACGGAACTCACTCGTGGCTTAATTTTCAGCCAAATAATAGATAAGTCTATAAGGTGAGCAAGAACACTCCAGAACGATCGACCACACATGGTCAAAAGGGCAGCATTTCTCCCTAGGATGAAGTTTCTGAAGGAAGGAACAAACAAAAAGGACAAATGGAAATAAGAAACACAAGGAGGCAGTGACATGAGTGTAGTTACATTGTGAAGATTACAAAGGAGCCCTGCTGGTGTCGTGGTTACTCACTGAGCTGATATACACATTGTAAAGATTACAATCATTGCCACAAACAAAATGTGTATAAATAGTTGAGTGAAAAACCAATGCACACTGTAAACTTTTCACCCAAATCACAATAAAAAAAAAGATATTGACATATTTAGGAATGTGGACTTTTATGTCAACCTAGCTCTATTGAGAAGAATGCAAAAATATACATAAAAGATCCACCCTATATTACCCCTACCCACTGACAAGAGCATTGTGTGAGGCTTGGATAAAAAGCACCCTATAATCTGTTACTTGGGTCACAAACTTCAACTAAACAATCACTTAGTATTTAGAGGCATTATAAGAAGCAAAGTCATTTTCACGTTAGCCTTGGAGCCCAGGGTCTATCCATGTTGGTCCATATTCTCTTTGGGTATTTCCTGGATTATAGGTGATAGGTAGGAGAACTGGCACACAGGATTGGTATTTAGACTTCAGGCTCCAGCTGGCTGAGGTGCTCACGCTCATGGAAGTAATGGTCGTGTTCTCTCCACCTAGGGACCTTGAAAGAAAGTAAGATCAGGACACTGTATACAGGCTCTTTCATTGGGTCTTTAAAAAGTTAGGACTGAAACAAAAGCACTTTTTACAATTTTTATCTTTCATTATCACTCAACCTTAAGAACCAGAAATAAAACCGCTCAAGGTGGGGAAAATGAGAGACCGAAATATTTATCCCTCCTACCTTGACTACGTTCCCCAAACCTGTTCTCTCTGAAACACCAGCTCGATATACCTAAGCTTTTGTTACTCTTAAATTTCTCTAAAAGAAAACAAAAAGTTGCTAGGAAAAGTCAGTGAAGGGGAGGGAAAAACTGTAAATCAGAAGTAGGCTGCTATTTTGCTATTCAAGAACACCTGTGATAAAAGCAACTTTCTGCCCATGTAGGTACTCACTGAGATTCGCCAATGTTTCCATCTGGTATAAAATGGTATAAAATTTCACACAACTGACCAGAATTCCCATGATTTCAATGAGTAGCTTTTCTAGTGCTCTCTGAGAAGTGGGAGGGCATATTCCACCTAAATTCCATCTTTCCTTCAACTGATTTCTGCACCAGAAAATTCCATAACCCCTGGGTTTATCAAGATGAGCAGGATTTCAATCTCTTTAAAAGTAAGGAGTTTAATTTTTTCTTTTGTGTGTTTGAGATGAATTTGTTTGTCACTAAAGACTCCAAATTCATTTCAATTCCAAATTCACTCCAAATTCATCCCCTCCTCTTTATTTATTTTAAAAACCTCAGACACCACGATTGAGGTTTGAGGGATAAGAAACATGAAGGGATTTTATCTACTGGATATTGAAGCTTGACGTGAGTAAATGGAAACATCGTCATTTGCATCCTTGTCTAGAACGCTGTACCCCTGGCTGAATTCAGTTTCTGTCTAGTCGATTCCAACTTCTGTCAACCTCCTGTGTGTGAGGGAGAACTATGCTTCACAGGGTTTCCAAAGGCTGACTTTGCAGAAATAGATCTCCAAGCATTTCTTCCAAGGTGGATTTGAATCATCAACCTTTTGTTTAGTACATGAGTATTTAACCATTTGTGTCACTCTTGGTAGATATATCTGTACAGTACCTCCCAATACACAGAGTCATCATAGCAGTCCTGGTCTGATGGCTGTCCCCAGATAGGTATCTTTAGAATTAAACCTGAGAAGGTGGAGAAGGGTAAAAAAGACATGTTTGGATGCAAACAAGAACGCATATTTGCTTAATAAGTTGAATACTATGATAAACTTATCTTGAGTTCACGTGGTTATTTTACTGTCAGAAATACAGAACATTTTAATATTTCTCAATTGACATGTTTATTAATTTTGAACTATATGAGAGCACAGGGCACAGAGAAGTGTTTACTTCTAATGCTAACCTGTAATAAGTCCTCCAACAATTGCTGATAAGATGGACGTACCAAGTGCATATCCCTGCATGATTCTTTTAGACCTAGGAAATCAAACAAAAAGAAGTATGTTTTTCCTGGAGACTGGCAACATTATTTCACTTCCTAGGGAGTCTGGTGGGATGGTTGGGTAAGCGTTGGACTGATAATCACAAGGTCAGTGGTTCAAGCATACTAGCTGCTCCAAGGGGAAAAGATGAGGGAATTTGCTCCCTTATAGATTCAAAGCCTTGTAAATCTTAGAGGTTCCCTCTGAGTCTGTGTCAACTTGATGGCAGTAGGTAAGAGCAGGGATGCCTGCCATCTTCTGGCCGGTTTACAGCAGTACACACCTACAAATGTAACCATTGAATGCAATTTTTTATTTTCTTTGAGCCTTTTGAGTTGTGTTAAAATTTCTTAGAAACATTTAATCAAGAACCGACTTTTGATTTATTTTTAGGAAGGATTAAATCTTTCTTAGAACAAGTTTATCGCTGTAAAAACGTGTTCTGATCCACTTTATGATTCATTCAACCAATATTTGCTGAACTCTGTGAGTCTGAGGTGACTTGATTGTACTGAATTTGAATTCTGAGTTTGTGCGGGTTTCCCTTCTGGGCACTGAGGATAGACTACTGTTCTCAAGGAACTTGGGTTATCCTCTTTAGTCACCTTATTTTTTTAAATCATTTTATTAGGGGCTCATACAACTCTTATCACAATCCACCCATACATCAACTGTGTAAAGCGCATTTGTACATTCATTGCCCTCATCATTCTCAAAACATTTTCTCTCCACTTAAACCCCCGGCATTAGGTCCTCATTTTTCCCCTCCCTCCTGCTCCCCACTCCCTCATGAGCCCTTGAAAATTTATAAATTATTATTTTGTCATATCTTGCCCTGTCCGACATCTCCATTCACCCACTTTTCTGTTGTCTGTTCCCCAGGGAGGAGGTCACATGTAGATCCTTATAATCGGTTCTCCCTTTCCAAGCCACCCTCCCTCTACCCTCCTGGTATTGCCACTCTCACCACTGGTCCTGAAGGGATCATCCTCCCTGGATTCCCTGTATTTCCAGTTCCTATCTGTACCAGTGTACATCCTCTGGTCTAGCCAGACTTGCAAGGTAGAATTCGTATCATGATATTGGGGGCGGGGAGGAAGCATTTAGGAACTAGAGGAAAGTTGTATTTTTCATTGTTGCTGCATTGCACCCTAACTGGCTCGTCACACCTCATTTTGATGCAGATAAATACGATGATGATCAATATGGTCAGAAGGGCTAATCCCTTTATAGAGCAATGCAAAGTCTTTCTAAGTGCAATCCATTCCAGAATGTACCTGACAGATAGCACTGAGTGAAGATGTGAAAGTAACTCTTTTTTGCCATCTTAGAAGTGGGTCCATGAAAGTTTAATTCATACAAATTAGCTTATAAAGTTGGGATTAAAATAATGTGACTAAAAGGAAAAGACATGGGAATATATGAGAGCTTCAAATCAACTCACAATGTGGGAATCTCCTTTGATGCCACAGCACAATCTCACTCACAGCAGGCATTTAATAAACGCTTGTTGAAAGACTGAAGGACAACAGCCAGGAAATCAAATATTTAGAAAAAGAGTTTGCTGCTGTTTCAGGCTCAAGTGAGAGAATAAACCAAAATTAGATTTCTTCTTTTAAAATGTGAAGAGTATAGGTTTTCTTCACTATATTAAAAAATCATACCAGTAACATATGATCATGGTAGAGATACTTTAAAAAAAATGAACGAAGAAAAGCTTAATCTTATAAAAAATGTGATATTTAAACATGCAGTTTTATAAATATGCTTTTAGCATTATGTAATGTCTTACATGTTTTTTATGCCAATTAAACATAAACTGTTTTCTAATTTTAATTGCTGCACAGTGTATTATACTGTCTAAAATACTAGAATTATAGTCCTTTTGGTCGAGTAAGGTTGTCCGGATGGTATATCCTAAAACTCCTGTGAGAACACATTCTCTAAGGAACATGCTTGTGAACTTGTCCAACCCTTTTACGAAATAAATTCTATCTAGAAATGAGATTCTTAGGTAAAAGGCATTGAAATCATATAAAATACTTCTCCAAATAGCAAATTATAAAAATTCATATGATTAATCATTTAACATTTATTCATTTGAAAAGTGAAAGACTGATAATGTGCTGCTCTAATGCACTTCTTTGACTGGTGAGGCGGAATATTTAATTTTATTAATTCATCTTATTTTCCTTTTATGTAAACTGCTTTTTTTGGTTCTTAACCCAGTACTTTTTGGAAGAAAGAGGAGGCTTCCTAATGCAGTAAAGAATTACAGTAATGGAAATTAACTGGGACATTTTACCCTGTCCCGTGCGGTTGCTATGAGTTGAAATCAACTTGACAGCAGTGCGTTGGTGGGTTTTGTTTTGTTTTGAACGCCAAGCCATTAACTGACAGTCTTCCATGATCGATAGCAAACATGTAAATGTTGATCCCTCTAGAGCATCACAAACAAAAAAAGCTATGCAATCACTCATACTGTAGCTTGTGAGGAGTCAAAATAAGGTTTAAAAGCCATTAAAAACTGCTTAACAAATTGAAAGGAGATCTTGAGGGGCTATGAACCTGAAGACATTGTAAACACCACTGAGAATGCTCTTTTTCACAGGACAATGCTTGGTAAACAAACCGACTGCCACCAAGTGGATTCTAACTCTCGTATTGTCAGGTGCTGTGACTTAGACCAAGCCATGTACAACAGAACAAAACACTGGCCAGTTTTGAACCACCCTCACAAGTGTTATTATGATTGAACCCATTGCTGCATCCTCTGTGTCCGTTGGTGTCATAGAGGGCCTTCCTCATTTTCATTGCCTTTCTCCTTTACCAAAGGGCCCCTGGTGGCCTATTAGTTATGGTCTGGGTGGCTAACCACTAGGTCAGCAGTTTGAAACCAACAGCTGCTCTGAGGAGAAAGACAGGGCTTTCTACTCCCATAAGGAGTCACAGTCTCAGAAGCTCACAGGCATGGTCCTTGCATGTCCTGTAGCGTCTCTATGAGTTGGCATCAACTCGATGCCAGTGAATTTTTTTGTTTCCAAGTTCCTACTTTACCAAGCATGCTGCCCCTTTCAAGGACTGGTGTCTCCTGATAACAGGTCCAAAGTGCATGAGAGGAAGTCTCACCGTTCTTGTTTCTAAGGAGTATTCTGGCTGTACTTCTTCCAAGACAGATTTATTTGTTCTTCTACCAGTCCAGGGTACTTTCAATATAATTTGACAACACCATAATTCAAAAGTTTCCATTCTTCTTTGGTCTTTTTTACTTATTGGCCAATTTTCAGATTTTTATGAGGCAATGGAAAATACCACCACTTGTGTCAGGCACCTTATCTTCAAAATGGTATCTCTAGTCTTCAAAACTTAAAAAAAAATCTGTGTAGCAGATTTGTCCAATACAACATGTCTTTTGGGATCCTATGCAGCAGTGGTTCTCAACCTTCCTAATGCTGTGACCCTATAATACAGTTCCTCATGTTGTGGTGACCCCCCAACCACAAAATTATTTTCATTGCTACTTCATCACTGTAATTTTGCTACTGTTTGACTCATCATGTAAATATCTGATATGCAGGATGAATTTTCATTGTTACAAATTGAACATCATTAGAGCATTGTGATGAATCACAGAACAATATGTCATTATATATCGTGAAATATTTATTTCTAATGACAAATAAATGAAACTTTGTCTTGAAGCATGGTGTAGCATGGGTAACAGTCTTCACGCCGGGTACTCATATGTGGGCATATCTGCATGTGGGAAGACCCGGCTGGGGATGGATAGAGGAGCGGAGTCTCGGTTCCTAAGACCATTGGAAATATGTGTTTTCCAATGGTCTTAGGCGACCTCTGTGAAAGGGTCGTTCGACCTCCAAAGGGGGTGCGACCAGCAGGTTGAGAATGGCTGCTATCCAGGATTTCTGGGAACAGATACCATCAACTTTCTCCAGCAGAGTGACTTGTGGGTTTGAACCGAAGACCTTGAAGTTAGTAGTCCAGTCCTTACCAATAGCACTGCCAGGGATCCTTAACCATGAATCACATTTATGGGAGAACTAAGAAGCCCGCTCTGCCCCTTACATTGATTGATATCAACAAAGACATTGCCACAAAAACTGATGACATAAATCTGGAAGAAATGGTGGACCCATGATTTAAAAATGATGAAGATCATGAAGACCTCTCATTAGAAGAGTTGGTTCGTTCCATTAATAAAATCACAAATTTCCACTATAAAAAGGTTTTGAAAGAATTTGGAGAAGTTAAAGAGAATCAGAAGTCTTTTTATAAGGCAAAGACAAATTTGCTTCAATAACTTCAGTAAGAAACCAAAACAAATAGTTGATGTTAGACACTTTTATTTTAAAAAAATGAACTTTACTCATGAATAGTATGTGCACACATATGTGTATAACTTGAATAAATGTGCAAATAATTCTTTTAAATGTTCTAGGAGCAAATAGATTTGTGAAACACTGGTGAAAACAAAGTTGTTAGGAGCATTGTTAAAGTTTGGCTCTCATAATTTATGAAAAACCCTTTAAATATGTCAACTTCCTCTTCTATGCTTACTAAGAAAACTGATTTGCATTTTTACTAGTTTTACATACCCATGTGAATAAATATCTAGAGTGAGACATGTGTGGAATGAGCTTCTAACATTGGCTTTACTTTCTTGAATAAAATGAGAATGTGTTGCTAAAATTGCACACTCAAGAACTGAACCTCAATCATGGAATTATCCAAAGTCTGCCTACCCAGGGAGGCCCGGTCAGTAAGAGCCAGAGAAGTGTTTCATTACAACCAGAAGGAAATGGCTCAGGCACAATGTTCAAGGTTCCTCATCGTAATCACCACTTGGAGTGTTTTCATCGTGCATGCACATAAGAATGCTTAGGAACAGTGCTCATTGACACATGCTTTCATGTTCTTGGTTTGCATTAAAATGATTTAATGTTGGATCTCAACAACCCGTTAGACCTCAGAGAGAAGCAATAGAAAGTGGGAGAATTTCATAGTAGGATTTATCTCCAAATTTACAAAAGTTTTCTTTTCTTTTTTAAGATAAAATTTAAGAAGATATAGGGTTGTATATATGTGCATATATATATATATATATATACACACACACAATGGAAGAAGCAAACTTTCTATTCAGTAGAAAATATGATTAAGCAAGTTTTACTTATATTCTTCACTATTGATCTCCGTTGGGTTAAACTTTCATTTTCTCAAACTGAAAAGAAGCCTTTTATCTTTTCAAATTATGAAATTTTAATCAAGTGGACACCTTAAGAGCCTTTTAAACACACATCCATATATTCTTTGTGCTTTCAATTTACTTACAAATTGGAGTGGATTTCTGCATAACTTGGGCTGCATGGTCTTTCTGGCTGTTTGCATCAATGACCTTATTGTCAAATTGTTCACACCTGGTTGTGTAAAGGGAACACTAATGGCTTATCACTTCTATTACCCTGAGTTTGACTAATAGCCTGTCCCCTTTGGTCATTGTACTGAACACTTTGCCCTCATTGGGAAGAATTTGGATTTGTTAGAGTTAGAAGGAATTTTGTAGTCCTTAAAGAATGAATAGTCCGATTCGTTCACTTTGTCAAATGAAATCTGTGAACCAGAGAGGTTGAATAACTTGCCCAAAGCTATTCAGTAATAGCAGAGTTGGGATCATAGGCTAGCCTTCTCATTTCCCTAAACCCAACTTTCCACATTATACTACCCCATCCTTCTTTGCTGTGGGTTTGAGAGAAATGACCGCCTATCTCATTTGCATAAGCCCACACTTCTCCTTTTCTCATTCACATATGCTTACTCTTCGGTATAGCAAAGATTATGAGGATGATGTAGGATTGGGCAGTGTTTTTTCTGTTGTTCATAAGGCCCTATAAGTTTGAACCACCTTGATGATATCTAACAACAGAAACAACATGAGGAGATAGTTTTGTAATGAAAGACATTTAAATGGTCACTGTAAAATTTTAAAAAGCAGATTAATTATGTCAATTAAAATACCTCTTCCAATTCAATTCTATTCTCAGTTATGTCTGTCTCACTACAGTAAGTGCATACTTATGAATAGTGGTCTGGCCCGCTAAAAAGAAAGCTCTCCTCTCACTAGATAGCTGAAAGAGTGCGAGAAGACGCCACTGGAACTGGAGGCCAAGGAAAAGGAAACGGTTCTTTCACTCACGGGTCATTTGCTAGTACCACAATGCCAGCGATACCGCCTATCAATCCAGGTAAGCCATGCAGGTTGTGGACGCCACACGTGTCGTGAATCCTCAGTTTTCTGGCAATTAGTGGCTAAAATTATGAAAGGGGGGACTTTATTATTTTGAAAAGATAGAGAGAGCTCTATAACTCAAAGTGAAACTAATTTTATACAGTCCAGCTCCCATATCTGAAATCCGCAAAAGTCAAAGAACCTGAATGTATTGATGGCAAAAAATATCCATTGCCATAGATAGATTGGGAGTTCCACTTTGTCTCCGCTACTGATGACATCCTAAATTTCCTTAAAAGAATACCCAGTCCTTCATTATTCACAGCAAACTTCAATAAAACTGTCCTTCAGGAAAGTTACACAAGTGCTTAATATTCTCTTCCACTTAAGCTTTAATATTGCCCATGGAAATGTGAATACTATTTCAGAGTGGGAGGCAGATGTCTCCCAGGTAGTAAGTGATGCTTATCAATGAACGTTCCATCACGTGACTCTCTTGATGAGAGGGGAGAGGATGGTGGTGGAGAGATTCAACGTTTGATTTGGAAAGTCTTCAATACGTACAGTCAAGAACTTAAACCCAAGCACGGAGATGATTCCTGAAATGCTGCCAATGATCATAGCACCATATGGGTCAATCTCCATGTCTGCGCATGTGCCCACAGCCACTCCTCCAGCGAGTGTTGCGTTCTGAATGTGAACCTGTGTGGAAGACAGAAACAAGGCTGAGCTGAGGTGTGTGTGTCTGGGGTGGGGTGGGGTGGGGTGGGGGGACGGAGGAAGACAGAAGACAGAAGAAGTAGATTGGAGGGATCTAGAGTTCAATTGCATGGTACCAGTTGAAAGAGCTATGTATTTATTTTTAATTTTTTAAAGCAGACTCTTTGCCACACTCCTTTTCTATTCTTGAAGTCTGGTGTTTAAAACCGGCTTGTATGGCACCAAACAATCAAAGTCCGTTTCAGTTTTACTTTACTCCCATTTACAGCCCCTCAAATCAACGTGTAGATCTGATGGGGTTTTAAATTTTCAAAAGGAACTCTTCTCTCCCTTGTTTTTCACTTACAAAGATTTTAATTAATTTATTAAATAGACATATAGTTCCCTTTTGTTTGGGAAGAACATATTCTCATAGCCCGTCTCCCCGTAAAGCTTCATGTATGTGGTTCGTCCCTCCCCCCTTCCTTCCCTCCTTACTTTCTTACCCTTTCCCTCTCCTCCTTACCCTAGTTTCCTTGTATCCTTTAAAGTTTTATCTTTGGTATGAAAATAATTTTTCTTCTTTATAATAATGGTGTCATAAAATATTTATCTTTATGAAATCGATGAATTTTGGCCATGTCTTATGGTATTTGATACTCATCATTGTTTTTAAAGGATGTATATTATTCCACTGTATGAGTGTATTCCTGTAGAGTCAGAGGTTTCTTCTCCTCGCTGTTATAGACATTGTTACCATAAACATAGGTGTGCATATGTCTGCTCAGATTTTTCTCTATATTCTTTAGGGAATATATCAATTAGGGACATTCCAGGATCATAAGGCAGTTGTATTTTCATTTATTTAAGAAAGTGTCAAACTGATATCCATCATAGCCATGCCATTTTATAATTCAATGAGCAATGTGTGAGCATTGTCGTATCTCCATATCTTATGCAGCATTTATCATTTCTGGTTTTTTTATTGCTAAGAGTGTTGGTGTGAGATGGTATCTCACGGATGTTTTAATTTGTTATTTCTCTTATGAATAATGAACATCAACATTTCTGCATATGATTGTTAGCTCCCTGGACTTTATCTTTAGTAAATTGTCTATGCATGTCTTGTGCCCATTTTTTATCCAGATATTTGCATTTTTCTTATTAAGGTGTTGTAGTTTACTGTATATTTTTAAGATTAACCCTTAATCTGATGTATTATTGCTAAATATTTCCCCCCTATTTTTACTCTCTTGCTGAAGTCTTTTGATGTGCATACATGTTGTATTTTTAGAAGGAGCTAGTACTCTATTTTGTTTTCTATAATGTGAATATTTTTCATTATGTTTGGTAATATATTTATGCTTTTTATTAGGACACTGTAGTTTGTACCTACTTTTTCAGTGATGATTTTTCTGGTTCTAGGGTTTATATTTGGTCTTTAATTATCTTGAGTTTGTTTTTGTACATGGTGTGAGATATGGGTTCCATTTCATTCCTTCGAAGTGGAGATCCAATTTTTTCAATACCATTTATTGAAAAGGCTATCTCTTCTCCATTTAATATGTTTTAGTTCTTTATAAAAATCAGCTGCGTGCAGGCACTTGGTTGTATTTCTGGGTTCTCAGTTCTAATCCACTGGTCTTTATTCATGTCTATCATTGTACCAATCCCAAGCTGTTTTAAGTACAATGGCTATAGAGCAGGATTTACATCGGAGAGTGAAAGTGTTGTTCAATTTCAATGTCATTGACTTTTGGGGATTGATTGTCCTCTGATTGATTTATAATTTTGTAGCACTATCATATAAAAAAATGGCTTTTAGTATCTTGATATTTTGTAATTTATTGATGCTTTCTTTAGGGCCTAAAATGTGCTTTATTCTGGAGGAAATCCTGTGAGCACCAGAAAAGAACATATATGGTGTTTTTGTTAGATACAATTTCCTGTATATGTCAAATAGACCAAGTTAAATAATTGTGTAGTTTAATTCCTCTGTACCCTTTTTCAGTTTCTTTCTAATTGATTGATCTTTGTTTGCGAATGATGCATGGAAGTCTTCTAGTATTATCAGTGCAAGATCCACTTGTCTCTTTTTTTCACTAAGAACTTGCTTGTTATATTTTGAAAGTCTTTCACTTGATGCATAGATATTAATTATGATTATGGTTTCTTTTTCAATCAATGATTTCATGATTCATAATGCCCTTTGCTTCTTATTTTGGCTTTTACTTTGATGTCTACCATTTTTTTCTTTCAAATTTTTGTTTCTTAAGAGTTTCTAAGAATTTGAAGGCAGTTAGCACTATCATTAAAGAAATATACCCCAAGTCTTTGTTTTTTTTACATGACTGTATTCCCTCCTAGAATTAATTCCTTGAGAATCGTTTGCAATTTGCCAAAGCACAAACTTAATATCATTAAAATTTGTTCAAAAAATTTCTTCAATATATGGCATTTTAAGAGTTTTCCTAGTACTTCAGTAATAATATAGGCATGCCTAACTTTTCTGAGCAACTGTCAGTATTGCAGCGTGTAATTCCCCCAACAATTACTATAGCCCTTACCATATCGAGTTTGCCCCGGTGTTCAACAAGGCTGGAGAGTGCATAGCTTGTGAGCACAGAGGCAGCAAGAGAGAAGTAGGTGTTGACGATGGCCCTGTACTGCTTTTCTCCAGGGTCAGCAATGGCAGAATTAAAGCTGGGCCAAAACATCCATAGAAAAAGAGTCCCTGCAGGAAACCGTAAAAGGAAATTAGTTCTGAATATGAAAGACATTCCAAGGGATACAATTTTCCTCAGGTACCAAGGATGTCTCCACTTTTAGGCTTCATTATCTAATAGTTAGGAACAGTAAGTGGTGGGTCACATGTAGGATTCTTGCCTTCCACACCAGAGAGTCAGGTTCAAAGTTTAGTAAAAGCACTCAAGCTGAGCCACCAACTCCCTGTTTGTGGAGTCTTGCTTGTTGCTGTGATGCTGAAGAGCTTTCAGCAAAGATAGACAAGGGAGGCCTGGTGATTTGCTTCGGTGACATCTGTCAATGCAGCCCTAGGGATCACAAGAGTCAGATCCCATGTGCACCCCATGGGCTGTGGTGTTGGATGCTGGCAATCCTGTGTGAGGGGAAAGGAGGAACAGAGAGCCAGCCTAGGCAAAAGCAGTGCTCATATATGTTCCCCTGGAATGTCTTCCCAGTATGTTGGAGCTAAATTTCCCTTATGGCTAACCAAACAGACAAGGAATAAGTGAGATCAATTCTACTCACCAATCATTGCAAACAAATCTGAGTGATACACGGATTCGTCATTGTCATGACCCTCTCTCAGGCCAGAGCGATATAAAACACCTGCTACCGCCAAGCCAAAATAGGCCCCAAAGGCATGGATGGTCATCGATGCTCCAACATCAGACGCCTAGGAGAAAAAAACAATGTAAACAGAGATGAAGCAGGTGTCACTCCAGGTTGACACCTAGATCTGCCTCACTGGCTGCAACCACACAATTAGCCTGTATTTAGCCACACACATTTATTTAGCCTAACCAAACCCAACGTATTGCCATCAAGTTGATTATGACTCAGCAACCCTGCCCCACAGAATGCAACCGACCCACAGGGCTCCCCAGAGGTCATCATTCTGGATTCAAACGGTCACGTCGCTCTCAGAACAGCTGTGTGTTCAAACTGCCTTCCGTTTGGTTAGCAGCTGACTGCTTACCCACGGAGTCTTCCTACAGATCATTTGCAGGGTCTGTATCTGACCTTTATCCTTGGCAGCTCCATCTTGGACCAGGCACCTCCTCTCGCCTTGTTCAAGCCCTACTGGCTTTCCTTTAGTTCCCCTTAACAATCTAAAAATAAACTTGCTGTTACCTTGACTTAAAACGTGCTTCTCCCCCTTTTGGTTTGATAAACTTCCACATACTCTTTTCAGATCCAGTTTGAGAGGCTATCCTTGAATCTAGATAAGCATTCCAGCTGTTCTCTATGATACATTTCCCTACTTACATTTCATGGGATGTATTGCAAATTGTAATAATAATATATTTCTTTATGTGTGATTATTTAATGTCTCTTTTAATTGTTTTTGCTTATTAGCTTATAGTAGATAGAAGCCCCGTAAAGACAGATACCCAAACTATTTAGTTTATCACCGAATCATTTAGAATGCTGTAAAAAATATTTTCTATTGAATTAAATGTTCAATAGAGGTATAAGAACCATCTTGGAGAATGAACAGAAGTAACTACTACTACCCTTAGAAGAGTCCATGGGATTTTCAACGAGGAGAAGGCATTTGACCTGGGCCTTCACACAAGCCTTATGAAGGGATATACATCTAGTACTTAAATTACACAAAGAAAATAACAGCAGATAGCCACCATGGCACAGTGGATTACACATCAGATCGCTAATCACAAGGTCATCAGTTTGAAGCCACCAGCTCCTCTGTGGGGGAAAGATGAGGCGCTCTGCCTCTGTACACAGTTACGGGTTTGGAAAACCAAAGGGGGCAGTTCTGCCCTTTTCTATAGGGTCACTTGGAGTCAGGATTGACTCAGTGGCAGTGAGTCTGGTTTTTTTTAATAGGGTAATAAAAAGTGGTGTGGAGTTGGAAAAAGTTCTGAGCTTGAGTCAGATTCAGCAAAGGCTGTGCTTGTCTATACAAAAGGTAACCCCAGTAAAACCTACGTTAGTGTTGCTGTGAGATGAAATAAGATAATGTTTATAAAACCACTATTATACAACAGGGCGCTTGAGACAGTGGAATACGTACTGTCAAGCTTCTCGTCACAAGGTCAGCAGTTTGAGTCCCTCAGTCACTCGGGAGAGAAAGAAGAAGCTTTCTGTTCCTCTAAACTTTAGTTTAAAGTTTTAAAGCCTTGTAAACCCACAGGGCGATACTACCCTCGCCTGTAATGTTGCTCTGGAAATCCAGAATCCACTCGATGGTAGTGGGCTTAAGTTTTATACAACAGATACTCACCAAAGTAAGGCTAATCCTTACAACAGATACTCACCAAAATAAGGCTAATCCTTACTATTTGTTGTGGGATCACTTTAACCCAACTTTACATTCTGCTGTCAGACAGGGATTTCTCCCTGAGTAGAGTCAGCATTTACTATGTGTTGTGGCCCAAACAGCACCTCCCCCCTCCCCTGCCCAACCCCAAAAGTATAAATCCTTTAAACCTTACCCTGAATAGATCAACAACAACATATTCATTGCCGACAAAGACAGCAATTTCGAAAATCGCCATGATCAGCATTTGGAGTGGACTTGTTTTCCCCAGGACAGCTCCAAAAGAGATCAACACGGCGGCTGTGCTGAAGTCCGCATTGATCATGCTGAGGGGGACAAAGACGGCATACAATGAAGAGCAACGTGCACGCCAAATACAACAGCTCTGAAAACACCAGGGCTGAAAGATAAGGGATGCTCACTTTTTGATGCCAATCGGAATTGCCTGACCATGGCCGTGAATGAGACCCTGTGCAATTGTACCCCACTGGAGGCCCAGAGCAGCAATACATAAGTTGATGCCAACACTGCTGAAGCCATATTTCTTCAAGAAGGTCATGAGGAAGCCAAACCCAACGAATATCATAACATGCACATCTTGGAACACTGCAAGAGAGCAGAAGAGAAACAAGTTTGCAGGAGGGGAACAAGGTACTTAGTCATGGTCCCCTGCTGTCAATCCAGCCTCAGACTTGGGGTAAAGCCAGGCACTTGGGAATGAAGTGCTCCCTGGCCCTGCGCCATTCCCATGATTGGTCACAAGTCAGAACATTTCGATCCATGGGTTTTCCTCCGCTGACTTTTGAAGGACATTGCTGGTTTTCTCTTCCTCGTTCATCTTCCTCTGGAAGCCGAACGGTTTCAACCTCATGGCAATGTGTAACTCTCCACTGATAGTTGGTGCTGGCTGTACATGAGTGGGTCACCGGGTAGTATTCAAACACTGGTCTCCTAGCCAGAACATGAGAAATCTACCACTGGACAACCATTGCTCTCTAAGGTGATACATCACAATCTCTGCCCTTTATTCAATGCTACTGCCTTTGTAGAAATGCTGCAAAAGGAAAGCATTAACTAGTAGACAAAAGGCTGCATTCTCATGCCAGTTTGGATACTTACCAGCCATAAGACTTTGAGAGAATTATTTGGTATTTGAGTCTTTTTCATATACAAGGTACATTATTCAGGAGTCCTGGTGTCATTGAGGGAATAGTGGATTACTCATTGGGCCTCAAGTTCAACAGTTCAAAATCACCAATTTCTCCGCAGAAGAAAGATGAGGCTTGCTACTCCAGGAAAGAGTTACAGTCTCAGAAACCAACAAGAGTCGTTCTACCCTAACAGGTATGGTAAGAACTGGCTCGTTGGCGAGTCTGGTTTTGTGATTTGCGAACCATGCATGCCAGCGTGCCATGGACTCTCTAGGAAGGGATGTTCACTACTTGCCGTATAACGGCCTCTTCGCACGGAGCAGCTCCTGACTTTGCTCTCGATTGCACTTTCCTAACACTCTTAGTGAAAATTAATATTCTCATTTTTACATAAATATTCTGTATATGTGACTGTTAGCATCTGGCATGTGCTAATAGCATTCAATGACTGTGCAGCTTATTGAAACAGTTAATTACTTGATGAGGCACCCATCCCTTGTACTAGATTGTGAATTTTCTAACTGAATGCGTTTAGGTCATAATTACCCTAGAATTTGCCATCATGGAAAATATTTGACCTTTGGCAACTTCTTATGATTCATCCTAATAGATAGATAAATGAAATTGAGGTTAAATTGGGAATAGATACAAAATCAGAAAGAGAAAACAGAATCTGGTTCAGCATCTCTGAGACGAAATTGTCTCCCTCTTAAGGAAGATTTAGGTTAGAAGCAGTGTGAAATCTCTTTTTGTTCTTCAGTTTACTTATTTTATTTCATTTTGTTTTATATTAGGGCCCAAAGAATTATAGTAAAAAAGTTAGGATAAAAATAGGAACCCAGCTTTTCTTGACTCCAAGTTTTCCCTTTATATCACACCCTGTTATTTTCCCAAACAATATTTATCTTTTTTCCTAAAAGTATTGTTGCTTCTCCAAATTTTTCAATGAATTTCCAACTGTGCAGTACTGAATTAATTTAAAAACTAAAGCAACAAGCACTAAACATGGAATTAATTTTTTAGATTCTCACCTCCTCCCTCTTTCAGGGAAAACAAAATAGGCACTTTATATAACAGGAATAATTTCATGTATGATGTTCTAGTGTTTTGGGATTTTTTGCGGGGGGGCGGGGGCTTACTTTTTCCCACTCTATAGTCTAATTTTTAGTTATTGCTTTTCACCACAAGAGGGCTTAAAATACCCACTGTTCAAGTTGCTACTATAAGGAAAGTTTATACAGTTGAAAAAAAAAGATATGGATAAGACAGCTTATAAACAATTAGAATTCTATATTATATTTCATTATTTTCCAAATTTGTGGTTGTGAGGAGAAAGAAGGGAACACACATTTGGTTTTGTCGTATAAGGCTCTGCTTTTAAAATATTAAAATAACTTATTTGTAGAGAAAAATGTATATTTCTACAGTGGTTTGGACTCTGAGGAACTCATTTAATAGGTTTTAAGCGTCAGTGCTTTTCAAAGAGTTGGCTTTATGCCTCCGCAGGACAAGTGGGGATGCGTGGGGACCTCTGTTGTCCTGGATGTTGTTGCTAGGAGGCCAAGGATGCTGCCAAACAACCACAATGCACAGGGCAGCCCCCTGAACAGAGATGTTTATAGTTCACAATGTCCATGCCGCCATTCAGAGGGAATTAGAAAACGCTAGCCTGATAACTGATTATGCAGCTTTTCTGTTAAATGGAGCACATTTTTTTACTCTATTTTGAGCCAAAGAGGGAAGATGAAGGCAAACAAGTTACCAGATTTCCCTCTGTCCTTCTACTTCTTTCTTGCTACCTACTGTGGCCATAGTATACAGTATTTTGATTTCAAACATTTCCTAAACAATTGCAAACAAAAGGAATAGAGATACTGAAAAATGAAAGTACTCATAAAGTGTTTTTACACAGCTTCCTGGCTGACATAAGAGTGAATCCTTTACATCTTCCAACCAGGTCAAACTCACTCATAGGGACCCTATCAGGCAGGGTGGTACTGCCCCTGGGCCTTTCTGAGACTGTAACTCTTTACTGAAGGATCAGCACCACCAGGAACGCGGCGGAAAAAGGCTGGGCTTTCTGCTCCTGTAAAGAGTGCCCATCTCTGAAACTCACAGGGGCAGGTCTACCCGGTCCTTACAGGGTCGTTCCGAGTCAGCATTGAGTCCAACACTGTACCGAAGTTGAAAGCCTCATTTCTCTCTCAAGGAGCAGCTGTGGTTCGCAGCCCAATCCACTATGCCACCAGGGCGGCTGCTTCACATTTTGGGGAGCATTAGCCTGACCGAAACGATTGCCCTAAAATAATCTTTAAATCACTGTTTCCTAAAATGGGCCATACCGGACCCGAGGGGAGTGATGGAATAATCCCGGGGAGCTGCCGAAGTAGGGCCTCGATTATGGACTGTAGTACAAATGTTTTTAATTGTGTGTGTGTGGAGGGGCTTGGTGTTTGTTTTACTTATTTATTTATTTTTCTAAAAAGAGAAAGGTAGTCCAAGTAAGTTTGGGAACTTATACTTAAACTTTAACTCTAAAATATCCCCTGAAGTCTTCTTAAAACCAAATCATAATTTAGTTTAACTACTAAGGGATGTCTTCCTTGAGCATTATGCTCTCTCAGTATCTAGCTAATATGGGATTGAACTGACAGTAGCAACTCTAAAGGTTCCATAGGAAGTTTAGGGGACAGAGAGCTTATGTTAATGGTAAGGGGAACAATTCAGAAAAGGAGGGTGTCGTAGTTATATAATTGTTTGTCAATTTGAGATGATTAAGAGTGAAGGAGAGGAGTCTAGTCTGTCAATCAGGTCATAGCCAATGAGGCCTGTGTGTGGGCATGGCCTTCCCCTGAGGATTCTGGGAACTCTGGTATTCCTCTTTGGAGGCTGGAGACACACTCTCTCTAGGCTCAGTCCCTACAAGGCATTCTTGTGGATAAGCCACATGGAGACAGGCTGATGGCAGCCAAAGTCTCAGAGCTGGAGAAGCCACATGGAGACACTGCCAGCGCTGAGATGCTTACACTGCCACTGGATCCACAAAACTTTCCACCCACAGGCCTGTGATCATCCTGTATTTGGCATCATTGCATGTGTTGTGTGAGTCTGAAGAGGAAGTTATAGTTGGTATCAGACATATGGGCTAATATTTGACTTATGGACTTGATCTGGAGTGGGCTGTGATGGTCTCAATATTCAGTTGCTCTTGTATATAAACCTCTTTGTTATACACATATGAGTGTCCATGAATTTGTTTCTCTAGTCCACCAGGACTAACACAGGTGGGAGGGGGTTGCACAATTGGAAGAATAAAATCAATGCCACTGAGGAGAATATGTGGACATTTGAATTGGTGTATGCTTTTGGATAATAGACCAATGTCAATTTACTAGTTGTATGACCTATAACAGACCAATAATCCTAAGCCTAAATTTCATTATCTGTAAAATAGGAATGATACATCCTCTAAAGTTCCATTTAGAGCCCATGGGGCATATTGAGGCAAGCATTGAACTACTAACTGCAAGGTCAGTGGTTCAAACCTACCAGCTGCTCTGCAGAAAAATGCTGAAGCTCGCAAAACTTTGCAATGTTGGGAACCCTATGGAGCAGTTCTCCCCTGTCCTGTAGGGACTCTGATCCAGAATGGACTTGAGTACAGTGGGTTTGTTTTGGGGCTGTAAGGAAAAGTCCTCCCTGAAGAGGCCTTTCCTTTATTTACTTCCTAATCCCCCAGTAGAGGGAGCCCCGGTGGCATAGTGGTTACCCAGTGAGCTGCTAAGAGGCCGGCAGGTTGTTTGAACCATCAACTGCTCTGCACACGAGAGCAATACCAAGCATTCTACACCCATAAAGAGTGACAGTTTTGGAAACCCGCAGGATCAGTTCTAGCCCGTCCTATAGGGATGCTATGAGTCAGAATTAGCTTGATGACAGAGTTTGGTTTGGAGTTTTTAATGTGCTCAGTGACTGGAGTATAATAAACAAATCAAAGCTTCTGACATTGAGTCTGTTCCAATTCTTAGCAATTCCACAGGACACAGTAGACTAGTCTGACATTGTCTTCCAGGCTGTGAATAATTACTGAAGCTACTTACCCCATCTATTTCCTCATCAGGACATAGTACATACTAAATAAAGAATAAGCATGTAACATTCTGGTGCATGTATAACACTCAATTATCTTTGTTTTAGTATTGGTGTGTATTAAGAAGGTTATCTTATTCAGGAAAACAAAAATTCTCACGACCTAGGAATAATAGGTAACATGGTGATACATGGGGAAGAGATTGAACTTGTCAAGGATTTTGTTTTGCTTGCATCCACAATCAATGTTCATTGAAGCAGCAGTCTCTAGAAATTAAACAACACATTGTATTTGGGTAAATCTGCTGCACAAGACCTCTTTAAAGTGTTTAAAACACAGATGCTACTTTGAGGACTAAGGTTTCC